GATCGTGATATTCCTCAATCATTACTCCCTACATAAAACATGTGGATAGAATGGGTAAAACGGCCTCGACCGAAAGAAATAAGCAATGACCCACATTTCCACATGGAGTCAATTGAAATCTCAGTCAACCTACCCACCAGATCTTCACGCTGTTCATCAAGAAAATTCGTGATGGCGGTCACAACCTTGGCTGGAGGGCTGTCAAAGTCCACGCCATAGTGCTCACGGGAGACCGACCTGTCAAACGAGCACGAAGGAAGCCTCTCCTTCAATGGACGCTTCCGGCTGCCCAATTTGACGCCATCTTCAGCTGCCTCATCTGCCTCCGTAACTTGGAATGAGTACGTCTCCGCGCCACGCTCTACAGACACCAGGTTTTTCTACAAGCAATAATGTCTAAAATGCACACCTACAGATGTGAACTCGGTGCTTTTGAAAGCCGACTCGATTGCGTTTTCCTGCAACACTGACTGCCAAACGCAATTCCAATTCTTCTTCTGCTTCTTTGAATCAACCCCACTCATAGAATTCTTGCCTATGCGAGTTAGATGAGTCCACATACTGACAGATGAGCATACGAGGTATTTTTGCTGGCGGCAAACGACGTTCACCTTCGTCATCGGAGCTACAGGACGACAATTCACCACTTGATAAATCACGCGCTCCAACTGACATCCTAAAATAACACAAAATACCACGCCACATCAAGCCCTACTAATATCCAAATTGGTAAATTAAGATACAACAGATTAATTGCATACTGTACAAGTGATGACCATGCGGTTAACATGAACGGAAATAAAAAGGTGGGAAGGTAAAGGTAAAGTGGAAAAGCTGCTGGCTAAAACAGGACTTAATTTAGAAAGATAAAAGGAATGATTGTGTAAACTCATGGCCAACACCAAAGCAACATTGTTTTAAAAATGCAGAGGAATACAATAAGCATATTGCTATTTATGATTACAAGTATAGTTCCCATGCGAATTTTCGACCACGCTGTGAGATTGCATCAAACTTCAGAACAGCAAAATTTTAACGGACATGATTTTAAATAGCCTTAGTAAGGGGCTACAAAGGGATGATATGAGTTGCTGAATAAATAAATAGGACAGAAAGCAGTACTTAACAAGTAAAGGCTTAAATGACGAAATATAGTCCAAGAGATCGAGACAAAGAGCAGAGTAACAGGTGCCAATGCACAAATGGAACAAATTCAGTCTTATACCCAATGCAACGGCACTTAACAATGTGCACTAAAATTAGCAGAAGGGACCAAAGAATATTAAGGAAGCTTTTGAGTTGGAATTACTTTCGCTTCCGGAAACAAGATATTAACCACAACAAAAGCACACCACTGTGGCGTCGGATCAGGGCGCAGACATGTTGGACCACCTGGCCTCAGCCAATCGCGTGTCTCTCTGCGATCTAATGGCATGCGGCAAAGGAAGGCAGCCAACCAGAGAAGGACATGGATGAGATGCAGTATATAATGAGCGGCGTGGCCACCGTGGTTAACTCGGATGGAAGGCGCCTGGCGTGTGGCTCTGGCTTCCGATTGGTCAATAAAGCCTGTTCTGTTAAACCGGTATTTTTCCTATTAGGGCTCGGGTATTCTACACTGGTGGCAGCGGATGCGTTCGAATAACGCAAATCGAACCCCAGCCCTTTCTCATCTATGGTCAACACAGACAAAGGCCCTTAAATGCCATCTGAATTTGTCATGGCGTTCATCCGATGTCCAAAAAAAATGGATCCATAGACTTTGCCCGGGATTAGGACTACTGCATCT